TTTATGAACATTTTATAAAATATATTTTTACTTGAAAAAATAATTTTTTTTTTTAAATTTAATTTCTTTGCTATACTAGTAAGTATTATGCAATATCTACAATGCGGTGGTAAAATCACAAGAACGGTTATCGGAACATTAGTCGCAATGCAAGTACCCTCTTCCATACATAATATAACTTTATATATCATACACACATTACGTCATTAAAGCATTAAATTCAATTGCACTATTTGAAAGTCACATTCAAGATTTTCAAGCTAGATTAAAGTTACAAAATTAATACCTAACATACTTCTCAAAATTATATAAAGAGTATACATTTATAAAAATCTCTTGCAAAACTGAAACTCAACTTTAAAAACGCAACACTAAGAATCAATAATCCAACTATAAACATCTAAATAAATTGTAACGAAGTAATTTTAATAGTTGTCCCTAAAATTCAACATAAATTATACGAAATATCACGGCATCTTACCATCCCATATTTATCTCACAACCGCCTTCTCTCCTCTCTCTCCCAAAAGAAAAAGAAGATATGAAATAATTTTAATTCGTCTGACAGTAAATTCCTCCAGAATTACCAAATATTATTGTTGAATCAATGAAAAGTTTGGCGAACGAATTTCGAATTTGTTGCCCGATCATCTGTGCGTATGTCGACACCCTCAGACGTATGCGTGCGACAGTCCAGAGGAAAGAGACAGTGTTGGACGTTCGTGCAGAGACAGGTAGGTGCAGATTCGCGTGTGAAGGCCGTGTACACGCGTGTACATATATACACACGGGAGACAGGAGGCGTGCCTATTTATAACGGTGATATCATCGCCGATTACCTACGCTTTCGCGTGGACAATCGTAAATTCTCGCGGCAGAAGGGTGCGGGAATTCGACTTGATGCCTTACCGAATATCCATCTTTCCCTTTCGTTTCTATATAACTTTATATTTCTTTATTTGTTATTTTTTATTTAGTTATTATTCTTATTCTTTCAATACCAGATCGAGTATGACTCAAGACTTACAGACGGATACGGTGAATAATAAAAAATTCTTTGAAGCTTCCATGTCTGACCAAGAACATCCTTTTTCACTGACTTTCACGAACCAATTATTTTATTACTGAATATTTGATCACATTTGAAATATTTTAGGGAAAATAAGAAAAAATCGATACATTTAAAAAATAATACATTTATTATTTTATATTATTACATTTTTTTACAAATATTATAAGCAATGGTGGTAATATTAAAACATGTAAAATTGTCAGTTATGTAATTCTTTAATTTGTAGCCAGTATTGATTGCCAGTATTGATTTGCATATTTTCTTCATTAATTTTTATTTAATTGCTTTTGATTTTCCTGTATTCACATAATTTTTTTAATTTGTGAAATTTATCGCAAAAACGTTATGTCACACATGTCTTCCACAAGTGAAATTCCAACAAATTATGTTTTTAAGTAAGCATATGACCGGTCGCATCTCTATTTCGTTGCGATGTAATAAACTCCTTAATGTTCACTCGCGGGTGTATCTCGTATTCTTGAAACGCGAAAGTGCGCCGGTCGCTGATTACGTTGAGCTAATTATCGTCGGCATATCTCGCCCTAAACGACGATGCCATGCACTCGTTATACCGGCGCGCGAATTTGCGTGCTCGTTTCGTAATGGGAAATTATGTCAGAATTATGCGCCGTGTGCTCGGAGGGGCCTCCTTTCCATCCTGTAAAACCGATAACCTCGAGTAGCTCTGCGACCGCGCGCTTAATGAGACATCATCATTAATAAAACGCCTCACGCGACAAGCTCATTTGGTTGTTACAAAAATTGTCACGGTCCTTTTTTTCTTTTCTTATCGGACAACGGTGAAATGAATTTACAAACAAGCGATCGGTTCGAGTGCTTGTCTTTGACAATTCTCCAAAACCTTAAATTTATAATTTCTTAAAAAATGTTTAATTACACGGATAATTATTTATTAATATTTCCAAAGAGAATATACATTTATTATTTTTTATTACTATATTCTCGATATATGCTTTATGAATTAAATCTTATCTCGCTAAATGGAAACATAAATTATCTTGTTTTTAAGATATTTTTCAATCAATATTTCAGAAAGTCATTATTCCATTTAAAGATTATGAAGTTCTAAATATGCCAGTGAATATGGCATACACTGGCCGTTTTCGCTGTGAAACGAATTATGTGGTACCAAATTGTCGGACGTTAATTAGTGCCACGTAATACATATGAGATGTTTTGGAAAGAAATTTCATGTAATTAAAAGGAAACCACAGTTTTCTTTTTCTCATAAATTCATATCGCAATAGACGCTGACTAATTACGCTTATCTACATATATTTTACAACATTAATACAACAAATTGTGAAGATAGTTTCATATTGTTAACATGTTTTCATATTTTCAAATTTTTTTCTTTTTCTTAGATCTGATAAAGATTAAACAATCATATTAAGTGAAAGATTCTGCGTGCTGGAATAACAAACTACAATACTCCGCACATCTACTTTTTACCGATCGCTTGTTACCGACGATGTTTCCTTGTAAACAAGTTAACTTAACAAGACGGATTTACGGGGTCGTATCTCTGATTCCGGAAGGTGCGTTAAAATCTAGAAAAACCGATTCGAACGGCACGTACCCGCCGTTCACGCTTTTTCATCTAAACGTCCGAAAGCCGCGCGCATTACCGTGGCGAGGCAAACCCGGTTTGCGGGTACACGGCGCGCCTTTACCGGATTTAATTATATGACCGTTCTCGTTGGTATCACTTTGAAAAGTCCATCGGCGCGCCGGCCAATTACGCGACTGCGAAAACCGCGTTTTTCATCGGGCCGCGTGAACGGCTCTCTGTATGTAACGCAGTCGCTTCGATTTTCGAGGATCCGTGGCAGCGGCGACCATCATGGCGGATGAAATTAATTGAATGAAAAGCAGAATCGTAATTTTCGTAACTTTCGTTGGATCGCAAAAATGGATCAGCAATGCGCTTTTTGCCAAGATATGAGACAACCATAAAAACATACTTATCGCTAAAGTTAATCCACTTCATGCTCGCAACTTCTCTCTGCGTAAATTGTTTTATCCGCGAAGTTTCATCGTGAGTAAACGCAGCGTGAATTGATAAATCTCTTTTCTTTCTTCAAAAGTTTTAATAACAAGCCGCTACTTTTATCTCTTACTCCCTCTTATATAACTCGTATTAATGTTTGAAAAGTTTT